TAACTATGTTTAATAATATATTGTGTTCATGTAGGTCTGCATCACCAAGGTATCTTTAGAGTATCAGGATCTCAAGTTGAAATTAATAATTTCCGTGAAGCCTTTGAGAGAGGTGAAGATCCATTAGCTGATACAACTGATGCCAGTGACATAAATTCAGTTGCCGGTGTTCTGAAGTTGTATCTCCGGGAATTGAGAGAACCACTCTTCCCCATTGTGTATTTTGAGCTGTTTATGGAACTAGCTCGTAAGTTTTTCTACTAACCCCTCTGCTTTTGTTACAAAGACTTTTTATTAAACAACATACTTTATTTTCAGAACTAGATTCAAAAGAATTCATTATTAAGATGAAAGATTTGGTAGCAAGCCTCCCAAGACCATTTGTAATTATTCTTAGATATCTTTTCTCCTTTTTGAATCAGTAAGTCCTGCCATACACTTATATCAAACTTGAGTTTTGTATGCTGCTTTCCCTTGCTTATGATAACATTTCTTCTTTCAGTCTGTCAGAATTTTCTGATGAGAATATGATGGATCCTTACAATTTGGCCATATGTTTTGGTCCAACACTAGTTCCTGTGCCAGAAGACAAAGACCAAGTGCAGTATCAGAACCAAGTTAATGAGCTTATCAAAAATATAATTCTATATTATGAAGATATCTTTCCTCCAACTGGAATATTGCCTGGTCCCATGTATGAAAAGTTTATAACAAGAGAACCAGATGACAAGTAAGTTACTTTTCTTAGAATTAGAAAGAAACTAATAATTTTTCTACATATGTTTGCATTATTTATCTAACGGTTCAAACATTTTCTTGTCTAGTGATGTTGGTGATTCTCCCTCGGATCATGCCCAGGAGGATGTTGATTCTGAAGTATATCCATCAGAGGATGGTAAGTGAGATGAGTTCATGACAAATTTTCTTCATTGACTTCTGAAAAGAATCTTCATTTTGACATTTCTTTTTGTAGAATGTGAATCACTTGAAGCTACAGCCCAATTTGACTTCTTAGCAAGGTCAGAAAGAGAGCTGAGCTTCAAGAAAGGGGACCATTTACAGCTCTTTACCCAAGTTTCAAATGACTGGTGGCGTGGTAGAGGAGCTCGTGGAGTGGAAGGCCTTATTCCAGACAAATATATCTTGTTAAAGATTAAGTAAGCTGAAGTTTTTTTGTTTTGTTTTTTCACTTCTCTGCTTTTACTAAACAATATCTCTTTCAAATATCTCAATACCCCTTTCTATCACGGAATTAATTTTCTTTCAGGGATGAAGAACGTGATAAATTAGAATTATTGAAGTCTAGTTCATCTGATGAATCCATGAGAAGAAGAGCATCAAGTTCAAATGATTCTGTTCTATCTGGGGCATCAGGATCTACTCAGAATGACTCCCCCCTGCTTGGGTCAGGTAGCAGTGCAACATGGCCAGCTGTAGGTGGACTAGGTGGCTTAGGGGGCCGTTCTCCAACCTCTCTAGTCGTCTGTGACCCACCTCCCCCACCCTTGCTATCTCCAACAGCTGAGGTACTGGAAACAACAGTGTAGATTTATGTCTGCCCCGCAATGCCTTTTTTGTGTGTAGTTTCCTTTTTCTTGTTTTGTTGGTGCTGCAATGGTTTGTTGATCTGTTGTGGAAATTAAATGCTTCTTTCGGCTACAGTTTTATTTCTAGTGAAAAAATTTGGTTCTATGGATTACTTTCTTGTTTGTCATGGTTCCTTATCAATTGTTGTTCCTTTATTAATTGATAACTATGAGTAGCTTGTGCGGAAAGCAGCATTTTTCATATGCATGGCCATTTATTTATTAAAAAGTGAAGAGAAACCATTATTGAAAGTAAATGCACTCCTTGTGAGCATTTCTTCAAAGTAATATTTTGTTTTGTTGTGTTTTTTTTTGTTTTTTTTAAGTGATTGAACTAAATAGTTTTGGTTGGTTTCTCTCGGTTTCTCTTCACTCATCTGTGTTTTGTTTCTTGGCAATTCTCTGATCTGCCACTGCAGAAATTTGTGTTGTGTGCATTTAGTGTTTGTTTTTTATTTTGTTTGTGTTGGTAGTTTGGAACAATTTTTTTTTCTTTTTTAACTTACACAATATTTGTAGTGAGTTGCCTGTTTATTCTTCTAACTTAAAACAATAAAATGACGCATGCTCATCATTTCAATTTTTAACATGCAGTTTGTAGAGCAGGCCAAGATGTTAGGCTAATACATGACTGACACACAAGGAACTTTTGGTCACAAGAGCTAGGCCATGATTCATAGAAACCATTATCAAGTATTAACATGAACATTGGTATCCTTTGTTTTATCTTAAATGAAAGTTGTGGTACTCAGTAAAATTGGCACAAATCTCCAATTATAAAACTGTAGTCAATAGTTACGACATATTTTCAAATTTTGACTACTTGCTGCTCAATGATCCAATGTGACAGCAAAATTGTTCATTCTCATCAGAATACCAAGGGTTAATAAATCACTAATACTTTTTTTCCCTTTGTCATGTTAATACAATAATGTGCAGCAAAGCTATCATAAAAGGCACATGTTTTTCGTCTGTGATATTCTGATTTAAAGTGTAAGTTGTCGCTCTTTTTAGTCAATTATGTTTCATCTGCCTGAATCACATACATTGTTGGGATGTGAAAGATAAGAATCGTCTCACTGACTTTCCTTGTGCCCCTTCCCTATTTTGCTTTGGATTGCTTCATTAGAACTGTATGTGTACCCCATGTATCCCTTAAAACTGTTCATTTACATCAAAAACCAAAATTAATTTTGATCTGGCATTCTTCCATTTCCAACAGACATGTCTTTGCTTTGTGGAACTTCTCTGTTTGCTTTTTGGTGATTTAAACATTTTGCTTCCTATTCCTAATGGCATATTCTGTCATTGTTTTTTTTTTTTTATATATATGTATATCTATGCAGTTACTTTCACACACCTACTTGTTTTCTAAATGATGTTGTATTTCTAGGTGTAACATCTGAAAACCAGTGGATCCCCCTTCAGTCATAAGTTCTGCATGTTATTTAGAGAGAAGAGTACCATAGCAAAACTTGAATGAAAATTTGAAGACATTGTGTCAACTTTCATGAGCAGTGATTTTTTTCTTTCTTGTCGACTCTTAAACCATTACTTCCGCAGATTGTGATATTTTTCTGTAGTCATTGGATGTGTGTGAAATACAGTGTTGGAATTAGAAAAAAAATGACCCCATAATGGTTTGAAAAAGCTGATAGCTGCATCTGCAACTGTCTTTGTTTGGCATTTATCATTTATCAAGGCTGTGAGGTTATTGTGGTATATAATATATTTTATTTTGACTTTCACTCTAAATGAAGCTTTCAACATTTGTTATTGATGCTTACCAAGGGCGTCTATTTTTGATATAATTTTGTCGTCTCTTTGTAGTGTTGAGAAAAATGGGTGCACAAGATGGAATATCTTATTAAATGAGTGAGCAAGTGAATGAATGCAAGAATGCATGACAGAATGACGAATTTTGCATTTTATATTGGGATTGCTCTATCCCATCATTTTTGTAATTTATTATTATAGTGTATTATAACTTTTCTTTATACAGTAGTTAGTTTTGGAATATATTGCAGCGGGGTTGGAGTATTTTCAGTATGCATTTTGCAGTCTTATTTCTTGATCATGATACCTAAGTATATCAACAGCTATGACAGCAGCTGAAAGTTTACCATCAAACCCGTGTTTGTGCATAGGTGAAATGTTTTTCTCATCAGTTTGCAAGGAAAACTTATGCGTGCATATGATACACTTTCTACTGTTCATTAGAGATCAAAGTAATGTACATAGTTTGCTCACTATGTATACCATTCAATTCATTTGTATTGTTTTTCTGTACAGCTAAGTAGGTAAATGTAATGAAAAACTCAGTTTGTATAAAAGTCATGCCGCTCTATGTTATTACTACTTTATGTACAAATCTTTTATAATTTCTTTGTTTTTCCTGATGTTATATCAATTCAAATAGTGAAATTTTAAATTACACCCTTAGTTATCTTTGTTTCTCCCCCCCCCCTGTTTTTTTTGTTGTTTTTTTGTCTCAACATTGCATCAAGGCATTAGTCATGTCTTGCAAGATAACAAGATTGTCATGTGCTACTTTTAAGTTGTATTTCTATTTAAAAGTGTAACTACTTGAACAGCAATAAATGTCTCTTCATGACCTTAAAAAAATACTGTGACAGTTTCTACAACAATTATCATCACATATATAGTGCATCTTCTTTTGCTGGTCACTTTGGGTTTAAAAAATATTTTAGGGTACATTTTCAATGTACTTTTTAGGAATAGATTAGATTTTTATTTGATTGAGTTTGAAATTTCAGTAGTCATAGTCCTATTTTTGTGCATGCTTTTATTTGTAGTTAGAGAATCTGCTTAATTTTGCTGGGCTATGGTGTGACCTTAAGAGTATCTACTCACTCAATAGTTATTGAACTTGTACTAGTTATTTGAGTTTAGACTTTCAGACTTCAGAGGTTGCTGTATTTAAGAATGGTGGATAAAATTAACTGATAAAAAGATCGAAAATTACATATTTAGAGTAATACACCTCAATTATACTATATTTATGCAAAAGAACAAAGTTATCAAAAATCTTTCTACCTTTTAGTGAAAACTGCTATTCTAATCCAACTTCTTTTTTGTCTGTTTTTACAGCCTGATTCTTCCATTCACAAATCTGCCAGTTGCACAAGCTTAGATTCAGGAAAGGAATCTGCATGTGATGACCAACTTCTTCGCCCTGATCATCTTACTGATCAAGTGTCAGAGAAGCTGACTCTGTGCCTGAAAGAGAACTCTCCCCACTCACCCGACAGCGGTGCCAGCGGTTCAAGCGAGTCACCCCCTACTGAAGCTGCTGCTGTATCTGTGGCCTCGGTCTTGTCTCAGTCAGAACTTCAGCCTCAACCCCAACCTCCGCATGCTGTCCAGCCGCAACCCCAACCCCAGTCTCTTCCCCTACCCCAGCCTCAGCCCCAGCTTCAACCTCTTCCAGTTAGGCAGCACTCAGAGCCTGCCGCCCCTTCAGCACTCATCGGCGCACTGAGGCGCTCGCACCATTCCATCGACGAGGCTCTGTCCTCTGCCCAATGTGTCGCTACTGCTGTGTTGTCTGCCAAGGAAACTGAAAATGAGAGAGAAATGAGGGAGAAATCTCCTAGCATTGAAGGCAATTATGTCGTATCCAGTTCACTGGAAGGGGTATGTGACATGCGCCAAAAGCAAACCCCTGATTTGGTACTTGATCTTCCACTTCGATTAAATTCTGAATCAAACTCTACCAAAGATAGTGAGACTCGTTCATTTTCTGACGATAAGGACGATGACTCACATTTATCATTGAGCCCAACTGGACCTGAAAGTCCAGACATGACAACAGCTGCTGAAAGGTTTGCAAAGCAAAACCAATGCACTTTAAAGAAAAATACTAAAGCGTCTCACAGTTTAGGTTCTCCATTAGACTGTAAACCAAGTTCTACTTCTCATAGTTCACCTAGACATTCAAAGTCTATGGATTGTCAAACTGAGAAGGACTCTGTAAAAGAAAGTGTATCATATGTGTCTCATTGCCTTACAAAACAGGCCTCAGCATCATCTGCTCAATCCAGCACAGCTTTTGACAAGAAACCTGTTGTGGCACCATTTAAACCTCCACTGAAGGCTAAGCCACAAATTATGAAGAAGCCCCCGGTTTCTGTGTCATCAGTGTCACAACCCATTATGCCTGTCCCACCCATCCAAAAGGATAGTAGCAGTGATCTCACTTCATCTGGTTGTAGCAGTGACAGTTCTTCTGAAGTGTAGTGTGTTAGTTTTATATCTTTCAGTAATCTTGTTGTGTTAAAGCAGTATAAGCCGCTTGTCTAAACAACTTGCTGCTTGACATCAAACTTTATGTCAAGTTGTCAAGAAATTGACTATGTTGTTCTTAACTACTTTGAGATACAGTTTTCTTTATTTTTTCATATAATTGTTATAAATAAAGTAAACTATGGTCTAACTTTGGTTAGTGTGAAAGACTGATATTTTGAATGGGATTTGAGTAACCTTATAAAGTAATCCAATAAACTTATGACTCAGAATTTTAATTACTTTTTCTGTTATAGAATTTCAGGTTTGCAGAAGCCCTTATTGTTGGGCTGTCTCTTGTGAGATTTTTCATTTCAATTGTATACTTTTAATCAGAAATAAGCTGCAGTATGTATGGTGGAGTTCTATTATATAGTGCATTTTTATTATACTTCCAGTTTTAGAAAAGGTTTTGGAAGCAATAGATACTATATATTGAATCATTGTAAGAGGCTCAAATAGTCTCAAGTTCAACTTCCCTAGTCAATGTACTATGATTAAAGCTGAAACCAATGTCTGGAATGACGGTGAGAGCTCATAGAATTTTAATTTCATGTAGAGGATCTCCTTATGCAATACAGTATTCAAGTTATAATGTATGAAAAGTACCCTTTAGAAAAGAGAAGTGTGTATTAGGACTGATCATTGTGTGACCTAATGGAATGTGTAGGTAGTTTGTGACTTTGTCCAGTGTAACCATAATTTGAAACAGTAATTTTGTGTGTATACATTGTCAAGATATGAGTGATTTCATTGGACGGTTGAATTTTTGTGGTTTTGCTACATATTTTACCTAGTTAATGTTATATTGATGTAGATTTTGATGCAAATTGATACACAGATCATTTATTTCTGGAAAGACTGACATTGTACTGTAAGTTTTAATAATTTAAGTAGCCTTTAACTTCCAGCATCAAAAGATAACTTCGTAAGTAATGGTTCTGAGTCCAATTCTTCCCATATAAAGGATTTTAACCAGATTTTATTTGTTTTTACCTAGGGACTTAGAGTTAAGATAACAGGATGTGATTAAAAATATGTATACTGTTCAACAGGTTGAATGACTTTTTAAGATTTCTGTCAAGACAGCAATTTTTCACTTTCAACCCTTTTTTCATTACTTTAATCTTTGAGCAAGTTAGTGTGGTTGATAACATTTCACTATTGTATGGAAGTTGTGGACGGATTTGGACCCGCAAAACTTCTTTGCAAACAGCTTAGCTTAAAGGCCTAGTTTACATCTTAAACTTTGACTTACTTGAACTTTTGCTATTTTGACATTTTTTGCTCATACACCAAAGGAATGTGAAGACATTGTGATATTCTTCCAATTTTTAAAAGGAACTTCAAATTGATTGTGAAAGGTAGAATTAATTACATACGGTTCTTATGACTAAGTGTAAGAAATTACTTAAATAATTTAATCCAGAACCTTTCATAGTGTTTTTTTCTGTGCCTATGTACCATTGTATTGTGATACGAAATTGAATTGATTCTATTGCATTTTAAGTTGCATTTGTAAAACAAAATGTTTTCCTGTATACATTCTTGCGAATTCTTTAATATATATTCACCAAAAGGTTTGGAAAAATAAGTACTACTGAATTAAGAGATATTTGTTGCAGGGACCATGAGGATGTGTATTCAAGATGGCATTACCCTCTTTATATTTTGGCAAAATCTGTCATGTTTCCAAAAATTTGCTGTGTGTAGTAACCATGGTGTTTGGCATTAAAAAAAGAACTTTTTAAATTTTTTGTATGTCATTATTTTCCCAAAATTGGTGTTGTAACCTTACAACTGAATACTCTCCACAAGTATGTAAGACTAACGTAACATGGCTTTACTCACATATAAAACTTTGAAAGTGCTAAACCAGCAGGTAGAGTTTTCAACTAGCATTAACTTTGCATCATATTGCATTTATTGTGGCTATTTGGTGCATGTGTCCTCAATTGGGTCCTTTGGTGGTTTCGAGCACTAAAGAAATATAAACAACGCTAAAATTATGTGAAGATTTTTTAATTCTTAACAATATTTTGTAACAAATAGCTGTAACTGACTCTAATGCGCTCATGGGTATTTAATATTTATTGCATTTCATTCAATCAGAAACTAGATAATACAATAAGAATTTCAATTTTTCCCATGAGCTAAGCAAATCAAAACAACATAACATCAGAGGAAAAGGATGGCAGGAGAATCAAGTTGCCGATTTCATATGCCCCATGTCTTCATGGAGTTACTGATTTTGTAATTTCGTCTGAGACATTTGGTACACAATCTTGGTGATAAATGCAATTGAGACTGTCAATGTGACACCATCTGCTGCTAAAAATAATATTTGTTGGTGGTGAGTGGGACAAAAGGCAACTCTTACTGAGTGATCAAAAATATTAACTAAATGCATCTACCTCCATCTCATAGATTACATTCTCATTTGTCTCCGAGACAGACAAGAAGTACCTTAAAGACTTAACATCACAAGTCTTGTCAGACTATACAGGCTCTACTGGAATTCACAACTTGCTTTGAGAAACTCTGGTACAGTATTCAATTAGGTGTGGTTGAGGACGCTTTCATTGACACATCGGCAGTATATTTTGAAGCAGGAATTACAAGTGAGCTCTCTTGACTAGTGGTTCGAAGCATCTATTTCATTGCAAACACTGTTACAATACTCATACTTGGTATGAATGAGACTTACACAAGTTTTTCTATAACAAACTTGCACAACCAAGCAGGGTACCTGTTGCTCGTTTATCTACTTAATGGCTTGATGTTGTACCATGTCTTATAGAAATAAGTGCAAAGGAAATAAAACTGATTAGTGTGATACCTATATCTTACCTCTTTATCTTTAATGCTTTTACCTATCTATGTAACAAACACACTAATCTATTTTACTATAGCTTTATACATCTTCATGTCTTGAAGGCTTTATACTTAGTTCTTTGCCCTTTCAAATTTTGTTGTATCAAAACATATTTTCCAAATGTTAACAAAAGACCCAATACAATGGAAGCTTTTGCCAGAGAAAAACATTTTCACCAGAAGAAAAAAAAAGGCTGCCCTAGTTTTAAAAGTAATCGATATTTGTCAGCATATTTTTAAAATATCGAGAGAGAATTTAGGGCTATAAGATGGAAGGTTGTAATGCTAAGCAAGGAAGCAAATTCCTGAAATTTTTTACTTAAAATATCCTTTTTGTGGTTTTTTAAAAAACAAATTTTGTATATTGTAAAGCCATTATTGATCCAACATATTAATGGATATTAAACTAGCTCAATGAAATGACCAAAAGCAATGATTTTACCATCTGTTGACTTCACCTCTTCAACATCATTATTAATATCTCATTTTGTAGTGTGGGTAATGGTACTTCATAAAAAACTCTTTTCGCCATTGATTTTGAACAGGTCTTAGTGAGCAGCGTTGGTCAACTTATGTCAAAACAATATTGTCATAGCTTTGCTTTTGCATTTTACTGATCATATTGATAACCATGAATTTGTTGCACTTACAACAATACATAAATACGGTTTTTGATTACTTTTTTAACTGGACAAGCCTTATCAATTAAAGTGATTTAATTTTGGTGAAATGAGTCTTGAGCTGTACTCTAATAATAATACTCACATATACACTCACTCACTCACTCTCTCTCACACACACACGCACGCACACACATACTCACACTCGCATTACAAAAAGCAATCTCAACGTGTGCTTTGCACTTACTCCGGTTTTTTCTTAATACCAGTCAGGAAAAATAAAAACATACAACTAAAAACACAGAAAAATTGAATGTGCTGTTGTACACTGCAAAACTCAAACAATCCAATGCTATCTCCAACCACTATCACATAGTCTGCCTTACACCATTTTCTTTCTGTGTTGATTTATCAAAACTGTCTCACTGGGAATCAAAATATGTTTCAGTTCATTGGGGCATTGGATGCAGGTTTTGAAACTGCTTGTAAAGCTTGGTTTAGTGTAAACTTGTCACTTAATACTGTCAAGCAGAAAATTCACTTCAACCTTGGGTAAACTGTAATCACAATTACAACACGTTGCATGGAGTTCTTAGCCTACACATTAAAGAGGCGAAGGTACGGCAGCTTCCAGTATTGGTGAGTTTTCTGTACTACATTTAGTAGTATGTTTCTCTTTCAAGCCAGCCTCCAGGACGTCTACGTAGAATGAACTTACGCGTTTCATCATAGATCAAAATACTAACCATGAAGGGAAGAGGTACAAACCACCATGACCAACTGTAATTGTAAAATTTTACATTTAGAAATAGTTTCAAATTATGAAGTAAATTGAAAATAGTTGTAAGGGCAAAACCGGGACAAAACGTACTGGAGAGGGTACATTCGAAGACCTTTGTCCATGCCTGGAGTATAAGACAGGAATGCTGCTAAGACTGTCTCAAATATAAGACCAAAGTTAAGAGCCCAGTTCCTGCAAAACAAAATTTTAATGGTGTGAAGACGAAATTCCTTTAATGTGTTTTGATAAACACGATAAATATTAAAACTATTTTTGTTACCTCATTCCTTGAGTGAAGAGAGAGTTTCGACGAGTCTTGCAAATAATTAAATCAGCCCATTGGACAATGACAATAGCAACAAAGAAAGCTGTTTGGCATGTGTACTCCAGACGTTTTCTATCTCTGTAGGTCTAGAAAGAAAAATATAGTATTTATTTAACGAAGCATGCAAAATAATGTAAGTTATTAAGTGAAGTTGTGAGCAAACTGAGTTAGTTTTCCTACCCATTCCTGTCCATAGGAGTCAGGAAGATCATTCACAGACTTGGAGTCCCATTGTTTCCGGATTCCAATCAAATGGTATGGCAAGAAACCATTTTGAGCCATGATAACAAAATACATAAAGAAACCTCCAACAGCTTGAATCATACCGATTTGAGCATAGGACATGGAAATTAATCTGCGAAGAAAAATGTGTGCATATTGAAAGTATTTGTTGACTTGTGTAATTTTAATGACAGGTTCCAGGAGGGGCAAGTGAGTATGATATGAACAAACCAACCTTGAATTGACAAGTTTGTCAGAAGCCAAAAATGGATTTCTCGGAGGACGTTTCATAATGTCTGACTCAGCTTCTTCATAAGCCAAAGAAATTGCAGGAACCTGAAAAACATAATCGTGTGAGGGAAAATTCTTCAAATGATTTTGTGAGAAAAAATTTCTGTATTTTAGTGATATTTACCATGTCAGTTCCAAGATCAATGCATAAAATTGTGATGGTGCCCAAAGGTAGAGGAATACCAACTAAAATAAACATGAGGAAAGGTGAGATTTCAGGGATATTTGAACTGAGGGTGTAGGCAATTGATTTCTTCAAGTTGTCAAAAATTAAGCGTCCTTCTTCTACACCAGTTACAATTGAAGCAAAGTTGTCATCCAACAAGATCATGTCGGCTGCCTGTTTGGACACATCGGATCCAGCAATACCCATTGCAACACCTGAAATTCAAGTTGCACTTTCAATTTATACAAAGTAACAAAACCTCCAGTTTAGATTTATTTCTCATATGGGATTTCTATATACAAACCAATATCAGCTTTCTTAAGAGCAGGAGAGTCATTCACACCATCTCCCGTCACAGCCACAATAGCACCAAGACGTTGGCAACCCTCCACAATAATCAATTTTTGCTGAGGAGAAGTACGTGCAAAAACAATTTCAGAGTGATTCCTGTGGAAATATTTTAAATGTTAAATTATGAAGATTTAATATAATCTAAAACTACCTACATCAGAATGCTACAAAAACTCACTTCAGAATTTCATCAAGCTGGTCAGAGTTCAAGTGGCGGAGTTCCATTCCATGAATAACAGCTGCCTTGGCATCCCTTGGGTTCACATCATGAACATCGATGCCCAATCTCTCAGCAATATCCTCTACAGTCTCATTTCCTATGACAATCAAATTTTCAAAAATGAAAAGTCTACTTGAGAAATATATATGAGACAAAAAGGATTAATATTTTTTTTAAAAGAAACATACCATCAGATATGATGCCTACAGATTTAGCAATAGCTTTGGCAGTGATAGGGTGGTCACCTGTCACCATAATAACTTTAATACCAGCAGAGCGGCACTTCACAACAGCATCTGGGACAGTAGCACGAGGTGGATCAATCATGGACATTAGACCAACAAAGCGGAAACCAGTCAGAGGGAAGTTAGGGCTGTCCGCATCAAATTTGAAGCCCTTAGGGAATTGTTCAGCTGGCAGCATGAAGTCACAGAAACCTAGAGGATCAGAAAATAAATTTAATAAAATACCAAAGTCCATCAAATACTTACAATAAACTAATTTAGTCTAAAATTCCTCTCACATACCAAGAACTCGCTCTCCAAGACCTCCCAGTTCAAGATAAGCTGAGTTAAATGCAATTTTCAACTCTTCATCAAGTGGAAGATCTTTGCCATTCATGAATATAGAACTGGAGACTTCAAGAATCCTCTCTGGAGCACCTTTCATGACCAAAATGTGCCTATTGTCATTTTTATCCTCGTTTTCATGAATTGAAACCTGATTGTGAAAAAGGGGTAAATAAGAGTGATCAGAAAAATCTATATACCTAGTTTCAGTGAGAATCCCATAATAGATCAACAATTAAACCGCACCTGGAATTTGTTGGTAGAATTAAATGGAATCTCACAAACTTTTTTGTTTCGGTTGCGAATGGCTTGAACATCACCAAGAGCAAGTTCCATACATTTCAAAATGGCAGACTCAGATGCATCACCATTTACTTCCCTATTTTGCAGGAAAAAAAGAATGTCAGGGATGTTGGTAACCAGTTTAGCAGCAAGCAGTTTATATGTTAAATGTCTAAAAATTAATTACCTCTTAAGTACAGGAACTCCTTGCTGACCACCCTTGAATTGAGCACGATTGCAGAGGCATCCTACTCTCGCTAATGCTTTAAACCCCTCACTTGATTTGTCATATTGCACACCTGAAAATGACAAATGATTTGTAGACATACCAAGCATTGATTATCTTCAATTTTCATGCCGTCAGTAAATCTAATAATTACCAGTTTGATCCTCAGTAGTGTCTGCTTCAATAATTTGGTTGTCAAACCACATGTGAGCAACAGTCATTCGGTTCTGAGTAAGGGTACCAGTCTTATCAGAGCAGATGGTTGACGTTGAACCCAATGTTTCCACAGCCTCAAGATTCTTCACAAGGCAATTTTTGGATGCCATACGCTTGGCAGTCAATGTTAGACATACAGTCACAGTAGCAAGTAGACCCTCAGGTACATTAGCAACAATGATACCTGCATGAATTAATTGAATTAAATTAATTTGACTTTTTTAGATACAGAAATTAGTTAATTAGCCAAACATTTTCATTTCAATTACCAATTAGGAAGACAACCGCTTCAAGCCAGTGGTACCCAAGAATGAAGGAAATGATGAAAAATGACACTCCAAGGAAGACAGCAACACCAGTGATCAAAGTAATGAAATGGTGAATTTCTTTGGCAATCGGTGCTTCACCAGTTTCAAGACCAGAGGCAAGACCAGCAATACGACCCATCACAGTGTCGTTTGCAGTGCAGATAACAATACCTCTAGCAGTTCCTGCATGATAAGTTTCCAATAAATATATGAAATATGATCATGATTTTACACCACTTTTAAAAAGTAGTTTGAGTTACCTTCAACAGCATTGGTTGAGAAAAATGCCAGATTCTTGGTCTCTAATGGGTTTTCATGTGTGTATTCAGCAGTGCGGGCCTGGGGCTCAGATTCACCAGTCAAAGAAGAATTATCAACTTTGAAAGAGCGTGCTTCGACTACACGAATATCAGCAGGGATACGGTCACCAAATTTGACCTCAACAAGGTCACCCACAACAATTTCTTCAGCTTTCATTGTGAGAGTTTCTCCCCCACGAATGACAACAGCAGTCTGTAATCACAAAAAATCAAAATTTATTTACAACTTTTATTTGGGTTGGGACATTACATCAAAAAGTCATTAAACTTACTTGAGGAACCATATTCTTAAATGAGTCCATGATCTTTGAACTTTTGCTCTCTTGGTAGTAAGAAAAGATGGCTGTGACAATTACCACAGCAGCTAGAGTAATACTAAGGTATAGCTGTAAATATGAAGGGCAGACATTGTTGTTAGTATTATTTGTGTAAAAATTTATGACATGTTATCTTTATTTTTATCAAGCTGAAAAGTGAGAGTGAGCTCAGTGAAATTTAGACTACTGGACTTCCCCTATGCACTTGTATACATGATGTATGGGTAAGTATAGCAAAGTCCTTACGTTGTCCTCTGTCGGCTCGTCCGTCTGCGTCCACTCGATGGCGTAGGCAACGAAGCAGAGGATGGCACCGATCCACAGAAGCATGGAAAAGCCACCAAACAGTTGCTGGCAAAACTTGACCCATTCCGGGGTGGTCTTTGGGGGCGTGAGTGCGTTTGGGCCATCGCGCTCCAAAACCTCCTTGGCTTTGGCTGGCGTCAGACCCTGTGGGCGGGGGAAAGGCAAGGGGTGAGTAACAGGACAGCTGGGCCGTCTCAGCCGCCAGGCTCTGGCCAGGCCTCGGGGCAAGTAGGCGTTCACACAGCGGCCACACACTCACCCGGTTGGGGTCCGTCTGGAAGCGGTGGCATAGCTCATCGAGCGTGATCTTGTGGAAGTCTATCTCCAACTCCTTTTTCAGGTCGTCCAAAGTCTCCGTCTTCCTCTTGGTTTTCTTCTGCAAACAGAAAAGGCAGGTGGGGTGGTGTTATTAGAAGGGTCGTGTGTGCCCGCCCCGCCCATGCGGTGGCCGCGTGCCACCGCAGCAAAGGGGAGGGAGGTGGGGGGTGATGAGGGACTTCCCCCGCACCGGGCGCGCGAGGGGCGCAGCGGGCGCAGCGCGGCCCGTGTGACGTCATCGCGTGACGGCGAGCCCACTCGCCTCCACCATCGCCACCACCATCACCGCCGCACAGGGCCGGGGAGGCCGAGGGGGCCGAGGGTGGCGACCGAGAGAGTACCGAAATAGCCGCCGCGACGCCGAGCCGCGCGCACCCCGCGGGGGGCGTGGGGGGCCTGTGCTGAGCTAAGCTGGCCGGCGATAGCGCCCCTGGCGGGGCCCCCCGGCCCCGGGGGCCCCTACCCGTGGGGGCGGCCAGGGTGCGGTGCCGCTCGCATCTACCCTGCAAATCTGGGGTGCCCAGCGACTCGAGCCGCCAACTTGCCGGACAGACACCTTCTCGTTTTCCATGACATCCACATCTCATTTCTGTGGGTTGTAGACCCGTAATGGACGGCCCAGACTTTACACTGTGCAGCATGTGGTAAGTTTGACAACCTATTTCGGCGCGGTGCGGCTGTTCATCTTAGGGATTGAAAATAGTAGCAGAGTGTGAGCACACTGTGGTCGCGCTGCACTAAACGTGTGAAGTCGCCCAGCTGCTGAGCACCCCGGATTCACAGTGTCTCCACTGCCAGAGCACCGCAGACGATTTGAATAACGTGCCCTCTCTCTCTCTCTCTCTCGGCCCTTTTACGCTACTCTCCAATAAACACTACAGTACGCGAGCCGAGCCGTTCAACACGAAACGACGAGGAGACGCCTTCAGACTTGGGCGTTTTCGTCGCGACTCTTTCGGCGTCCTTCAGACGAGTAAAATATCTGCGCGACAGATGTGGTGAGGCTGCCCCCGATCTCACCCCCTATCCCCGCGCTCCTTCCTGTTGCGCTCCGTGTTGCGTCGTCCTCGTCGTCCGCCCCGCCGCGCGAGGTGTCTGGGCGGGTTGGGAGTCTGCCACACCCCGCCCTGTTCGCCCCGCCCCGCCCCACCCCGCCTGCAGCACCCCGCCCTGCACATTGACAACCAGGACGGCTCACACCAACAACAAGCCCATCGCCACGCAGCAGCTATTTAGTTGAGGTGTTCCGAGAACATCGCATGTCTTCACGAGTCGTTGAGCCCGCGCCTCGCAACGCCTCATCACCTTCGGACGACAGGCATCACAGAGAACACCCGCTACGGCAGCGGCTGTAAAAGCCTTAGAGCAATATGCTGTGAGCCGATATGCCGATTTTTTTTACGATGGCTGGGAAGTACCCCCCGCCCCCCCC